GAGAGAGAGAGAGAGAGAGAGAGAGAGAGAGAGAGGACGACAAATTAATTGATGATGTCATTAAATTGACTGATAGCAGTATTTTAAGAGAAAAAGTAATCCGAATGGATTAAATTTCATAGATGAAAAGCTCTCAACTTTTTTTTCTTCTAAGGCTCTTAAATTTCTTCTTTTATTGCATCAATTTGATGAAATATACAAAAGAAAAGTAAAAAGTTGAATAATGCATTATTGAGTAATTTACTGATATTTTTTAATATGAGGTGAAAAAAATTTTTTTTTTGAAATCAGAATTCGATGACAACTTTTAATACAAAACCAAATTCGATTTCATCTACCACTCGCTATGCGCCAGAAAATTTTTTCCGCAAGCGGAATCTTTGCGCTTTTTTGCGCATCTTCACTTTACTTCCATTTTCTTTTCTCTTTTTTTCATTTTTGAAATGATAATTTATTTGGAATAATTCCACATGTCATTTTAACAATTGATATCATTAAGTTAGACAAGTAATGTTGGAACAAATAACTTCCTGAAATGTTACGCAAGAATTTAACAATTTCAGCAGGATGGTTAAAATGAAGTAAGAAATTTGAATGTTGAAATTAGTTCTGATCATTTACTTTTAGCTGTCTAATTTAATTAATTAATATTTCACCTTTGCATTAATTTTTTTTCAAAGAGTAAACATTTTAGGGTTAATAATACCTTATCGATTGACTAAAAATTGAATAACGGTTATGCATGTTGTTATTATTTCGTTAAGTTTCAGTCTGCTTCTTTTTTTTTTTTTGAAGAATAATAAAAGATTGTGCATAATTTTTATTTTACATTTTGCTCAAATTGTTGAGTAGGTTAAGTAAAAAATGGATAGCGCTAACAATTTCATTTCAATTGATTTTACTAAATTTAATAAACGATAACTTTTTTTCGCTTAAATATTTGTGCGTGTCAATAGTACAAATGCATTTGGAATGTTATCAGGTTTGTTGAATTTTGAATTATTCGTTTTTAAGTTTCATAAAATTAAGTAAGTGCAAAGGTAAATTGAAAGTAAAGTAAACTGAAACAAACAAAATATTTTAAAAAAGAACTCATTTAAAATTATTAAAAATTCTCTTTCTGAAAAACAAGTAATCAAATAGCTTTTGTGAGGAAGGATGGAAATGTATGCTTAGATAGGAATAGTAACTTTATATTCTTGAAAATTTGAAATAATTAGAAATTTGACCAGTAATAGCATCCTCGAAATATAATCAACAAATAAGGATTTGAATCGTTTTGCTTCATTTTAAGCTTTAAAAAAAACAGAAAAAATATACTTCAAAGATTATAAAAATAAAAAAAAATGAAAGTTTTTGCGTCATAAAGCTTTAATCAATTTGAAAAACGATTTATAGTTTCATCATTTGAAATAAAAATAAACATTTGAAAATAGAATCGGAGAGGAATTTTGACAAAAATGAAATAATATGGCTGACAGTAAAGAAATTGAAATGAAATGATCAATTTGAAATTGAAAGTATAAAACGAAACAGAATGGATTCGGATCCGAACAGTTAACAGTAATAGATGAATTGATCATTTGACGTAATTTTTGGTATTCGGTAAATTTAAATAATTTACTGAAATCTTATCCTTTCTCATAATTAATTAAGCAGTATCCTAATTTAATTTCAAGTTCGAAGAATTAAAATTTTTTCCAACAATTAATTTACACTAAAAAAACAATGAAAAATGGTGTGTTTGTTCTTTTTCTTTGTTTATAGGGAAATTAAAATTCATTTAATGATCGTCGAATGTTTTTTTTGCAAAAAAGCGATAGTTTGTAAAATTGATAGTAAAGTATAAAAAATTTACATAATTTTGTAACCTTTTGAAATACTTAGTCAAATTTCAATTTTAATTTTCAAATTGTAATTTTTGCAATACAACTGAAGTTGTATGATTCAAAATGAATAACTACATATCCATAACAGCTATTCATCTAATAAACTATTTTTACATTTAATAATGATTTGACTTTGAATAACAAAATCAATAAATGTTTAATAAAATTGCTTATTGGAATCAAGCATTAGCATAAGTATCAAACAGTTGATTAATGAAGTACATTTTTTTATAAAAATATTATTTTTTAAAACAAAAAAAAAAAGAGAAGGAAATGATGGTATTAAAAGATTTTCAACAAAGATAACAACAAGCTCAAAAATAGCTGACAAGAATGTTATTGAGGCCAAGACAAATGGACTTCTTGCAAAGCCTAGAAATTTTGATATATGAAATTGAGCTATGCAATATTTTAAATATATTTGAGAAGCGCACAAATCGATATATATTACTTTTTTTTTTTAAATAATTATTGTACTGTCTATTTACTGATTACAATTTAAGCAAAATTACTAAATCATTTTTTATTTTAAAAAAATGAAAATGGGAAAAAGTTAAATATTTCGACAGATATTGTTGATTTTATTTATCCCAGCGCAACTAACTCATATTCATTTTCCAAAAGAATGAAAAAAATAAAAACGGAGAAATATTTCAGCAGATTTGGTCGATTTTATTTACTTTAAATCAACTAGCTTATATTGCATTTTCAATAGCATAGTTGCTTTTAGCTATATTCAAATTTTAGTTTTTTATTCACAGGTAAACTTGAGATTTGTCCAAAAAGAAATTACTGAGCTCTGATTATTATTTGTCGTGAATATAAAATTTATTGAAACAATTTTTTTTTTTTAAATGAATAAATTCAACTTATGTAAAACAATTAACACAAATTTTATTAATATGAAAATTTCTTCATTATTTCGGTGAAATAAATAAATTTTATCAAACGCGCATTGAAATCATACTATCATCATTATTTTAATGAAATAATTTGATGAAAATAAATATATGATAACTTTCATCAATAATTAACTTATCATTAAATTATCGAAACCATCAATTCTGAGAATTATATGAGATTTAAGAAAATTTTTCAATGTGTAATGAATTTGTGATATTAGTTAAAAGAATTTTATTGCTTCTAGGAAAAACAGAATTTTCAAAAAACGTAATAACAAGGAACTTCACTCAAGTTCAAAGGTCAGAAGATGAAGTTTCAACATTTTTATACAAATTATCACTATTAAAGAAAAAAATAATTAAAATGAAAAACTTTCTCTTTTCAATGAAACGTTTTCTGCGTTCAAACAAAAATGAAAATTAAAAAAAGAATTGAAAATTAAGTGAAATAACTATTGTCATCTTAAATAGTTTGTAATTTAGCGTTGTAGAAAAACGAAACTTTAGCTTTGAAAAAGGAAAAAGGAAGAAAAAAATAACAAAAAATATTACATATGCAAAATAAACTTATCAAATTTAACAAAATTCATATTTCAAAATAGCGGAAAGTAATTTAAAAAAATATTAATTTGCATATTTGTATCACGAAATGTTACCGTTTTTTTGCATTTCGAAAGAGAATTCACTTTTATTTCCTTTCAATAAATTCTCGAATTTATCCATCCAACAATAAAAAGTGATTATCTTTTCAACAATAAAAAGGAAATTATCTTTTTTTTTCCTTTACTTTACTTCTATAAAAAATCTAAGCCTTTAATTTTTTTCTGTTGCCAATCTTTGATTTAGTTTAGAAAATTTTCAAAAAATTGAACTGATAATATTTTTAGAAAAATTCAATAAAATAGAAAAGCAAATGAGAAAAATATGAGAAAATAAAAAAAAATACAATTTTAACGATAACAATGAAATTTATCTCAGTTCATAATGAGTAATGAACTGAAATAATATCGAATAAAATAATTGAATTTTTTATTTTTTGAAATATTTTTTTGAAACTTATATGTATCAAAAAAAGGGAGATTGAGAGAAAAAAATTTTGCATACTATCATTATACTTATTTTGATACTATCATTATAACTTTTCTTGTTCACTCTTTCCCTCTCTTTCTCTCTCTCTCTCTCACCCTCTCTCTTCGTTTTCTTCTTTTTTTTTGTTTTCGATTCTACATTTTGCGAGTTCTCTTCTCTAATTTTATTCCAGTAATCCTTATTTTTTACTCTTTTTTTTTGCTATAAAATTTAACATATGGTGAGGAAATTAAATTAGAAGAAATTTTATTCGTCAAATAATCGAAATAAATTTTAGATTTGTTAACATCTCTTCATCTATGATAATTTGTATCGGATATTGACAGTGTAAACTGGATCAAATTTTTTACATTTTTCATAAATCAACAAATTATAAATACCTATCTATTCACTCAAACATAAAAATGACTTTTGCAATATTTAATTCTTAAGCCTACAGATGATACGCGATATGCACAGATAGAAATTGATAACTTAAAATAATAAAAGAATATCTGGCAAAAAAAAAAAATTTTCTTTTTCTGTAATATTCAGAAATCAATGTTATTAAATATCGCAATAACATTGTATAGCACTATCAAAATACATAATAATGATTAATATCACAAAGAATTTTAGCTTTCCGGTTTGATTTGCCTTGTCAAACCGTACGGTGTCATACCTTTCTGTGAAGCGCATTTATTTGTACCGTATTGTAATGGAATTACCATTTCACCACGACGTATCACTGATTCCGGAAAAAAACGTGGATGACCCTGGGAAAGTTTAACAACCCATGATGGAAATGGTACTGGCGCATTCTTTGATTGAGCCTGAAAATAGTTTCAAATTGAGTCTGAAAACAAACAAATTGTTACTGTTGAACAGCAGCAATTTCTAAATTTGAAAATTGTATAAATTTTGAAAAAAATTTAAAATATTTGTAATATTACAAATGTTGTACATGTGTGGATTGCTTGGAATCATAAATCAGTTAAATTTTGCGAATTAAAAAAAATTCATAAATCAGTTAAATTTTGCGAAATTTAAAAAAAAAATTGATAACAATTGTTAATTAGATAAAATTAAAAAGTGAGAAGAAATAATAGTAATTGTCAATTTGATAAAATTAAAGAATAATGGGAAATGATAGACAATAACTATTAAATAGGTAACATTAAAAAAGCGATATATGCATTAAAAAGTAAAACAAACAAATAATTAGCTATAAAATTTGAAATGATAGAAAGCGAAGGAAATTGAAGAAGTTATCGGTTATTAATCATTTCATTTCTCTTTCATGTTTCTTAGAAAAGGAAATAAAATATTTTAAGATATTTTAAAATTTTTAAATTGCATAGATTGAAATCAATAGCAATTAAATATATCTTGAAAGCTCTTAACAATTATATGATCAAAATGAGCAGCTTAATTAAATTAGCTGAAATGAAAGTTAAACAATATCAAATCTTATATTGCATATAATACAGGTTGTTGTGGGACTAAATTTATTAATATAGTTAATTAAAGAATAATTGTATAGAATTAAGAAAAAATGAATTATTTGAAATCTTTATAAAATAATAAGTAAGGAAGAAAATAAACAGATTAATTTGCATACCACAGCAGCTAATGCCCTAAGGCATTCGATTACTTTGTAGCATTGTTTATTTTCATATAAATCAACTGTTTGAAAACATGAGATTTCCGGAACACCGTACGCTTTAATAGCATCTAGAAAACTGCTTATATTTTCCATCTGCAACAGTAATATATGCTAATTTAAGTATTTTATCAAAATTGAAATTGAATAAAAATTATTTTAACAGAATCCTGCAATACATTTCATCGGGCAATCATTAAATTAATACCTCGATATACCGTAAATACTGAAGTAATCCTATAAATGGTACAGTAAACATGGAAATTAAAAATTTTAGCAACTGTTTTTATTTAACAATTGGTAGTATTTTCTAATAAAATTTTATTAATTACCTTATGAAAAGGCATTTTAGGTTTAGCATTGTATGGTAGTGCATTTGTTTTACCCAATAATCGATTCATTAAACTGAAATAAATAAAATTAAAAAAAAACAAACAAAAAAAGAAAAAAGAAAATATAGTGTATTTTGATGATATCATTATCATCGAAAGGTATTTTCGAACCGCCACCTGACTGCAATTTAGGTTTTAAAATGTAAATATAACTGAAAAGTATCCCTTTATTTTTTTTTTTTTTTTGGGAGAAAGGAGGAGGTGATAAATATTTTAGAAATTTAAAAATTGGAAAAAATATTTCCAATAAGTAATTTTTTTTCCATTTAAAGAAATTAATATTTTATGTTTTAGTCATTTGTAAATATATTTTTCAAATACTGAATAATATTTCAAAGATATTTCAAGTGCTATATGTGTATAAATTTCACATATTTAATAATTTGAAATTTTGTTCAATTTAGGATGAATTTTAAAAATGTTAGGAAATAAGGAAGAACTCACACACATAATTGAGTACCATCTTTGAGTGAGTCCGCAACATCTTGAGCTGTTTCAAAAGTTGATGGATCCTTATCGAATTGTATATTCGTTGCTTGCTCAATCCAAAATAGCACTTCTTGCGCTTCCTCAATACTGAATCGTGCCTGATTCTGTAATTTTCAAATTGTATAACTCAAATAATTGAATTAAATAATTATTAAATTTTTACAAATAATAGATTTTTTTGATTAATTTCAATTTTGCTCTCTTTTTGTGCATTTTATTTTGCTATTTCATAGATAAATTTTAGTTTTGCATTTAATTTGAAATAACCTTCAAAAAATAATTAAATTACTGCTGTTATTATTGTTGTTATTATTATTAATCACTTAATTGTTATTATTATTATTGTTGTTATTATTGTTATGCTATCATTATTATTCGTATAATTTTACAGTTAATAATCATTCTTATTCATAGCCAACCATTAATGAGTTGCATTATTGAGCATATTAAATTTGCATAAATTAACTTTTATATAGATATAACTGAAGTAAAGATAATTATTGTACGTAAAAATACAGGTCAGAAAATGTACAATTTTTATTCGAATTAATGCTAAAATTGATGTTATGGTTGATATATATGAGATGTTTGGTTAGGTAAATAATCATTTTAGTATGCTTTAATGACCTATTCAGATGGTACAATCAATAGGACTATAAAATTTAATCGTTTGAGATTAGAAGGAATGTTTAAATTTCATAGGTGAGCATAAATATACAAAAGCAGTAATGGCCGATTTGATTTCATCGCGAATTTATTCAATGTAAATTTTGTCAAACTTTGTCACACATCACAGAATTATGCCATTTTAATAGAGATTATACTAAACTATAAAATTGAACTATTGCACAACTTGCTGATAAATTATACAGACAAGTATTTGAATACTAATTATTAATTTTTTTTTAATCTAAGAAAGTAATTGTATACTTGATATCATTCATGTTTTTTTTTTTGATTTTAAAAACTTCTCTCAATATGTGATATGTGATTTAATGAAGTACTTGCAATGTAAAAAATAAAATACTTGCAAATAATCATGCAAATATTTTATACTTGCAAATAATCAAAATAAAATACTTGCAAACGATTTATTTATGGTAAAAAATTTTTTACTGAAAATAAAAGACTTTTTAAATTTTTGTAGTAAAGAGAAAAAGAAAAGCTTTTTTTCTTTATATATTGCAAATTTTTTTAGATATTGAAAAAAAATGTTGCGAATTCTTAAATGTAAAAACATATAATTAACTGATATGATTATGCAAAAGAAAAGAAATCTTTAAAATGAAATATTAATTTGATGAATCATCGATATATAAGAGAAATGGAATGACTTTTTTTTTCATTGCTTAGAAGAAAAAGCTTTTTTCATTTTTTTTTTTGTGAGACTTATTCATTTTTCAGCGTTTTGTGATACAATGGATAAAAAGAGATGAAAAGAGTATTATTAATTAATGCAGAAGAAAAAAAAATTGAAAATAAAAGATTAATTGATATATTATGCAGAAATTTCTTTTCATTTTTTTCAGACATATTTTTTAGCATATTTTTTTATTCATTCTTTTATTGTTCGTTCAAATATTAAAAGGATGAAATGAAATGGAAAGAAAAAGAAATGATAAATATTTATTTTACACATCAAATGACGACGAAGTCCTTTCTCCTTCTTTTCCCTATCAGTCCATTATTTATCAGTGAAAAAGCGCTTTTGAATCAATCAAATAAATAAATTCCTTTACTGTTATTGATTATAAAATGTAAATGAGATAATTAATGTACATCTGTTCTTTCATTTGTTTGTTCAATACTTTCCAAAATTGTCGTTTTTTTTTTTACAAATTTGACTTATAATAATTTGAATAATATTTTCCATTTATCGTTTTTTTTTTCTTTTTCTGCTCTTTTTTTCTTTTTTGTTGTGATATTTGCTATTATTTTGTATTCTATGCTATAATAAGTTTCGTTTTTGCTTCTTTTATTTTTACATTCAAATATGATTAAATAAAATGAATGTAAGATTGAATAATAAATTGTTGAAAATGAATTTGAAACTGAATAAAAAATTATTGAAATGAATGAGTTTATCATTTTCATCTCTAAACGATACATTTGTTAATGTTTACAATGATGAGAACATTCTGCTAACAAATAAATTAGCCAAATAGTTACCAATCAATTTAAAATTATTACCAAAATTTTCATTTTCCTTCAAAAAGAAGAGCAACAAGGAGGAAGAAAAAAATTGAAAGATAAATTTGACAAAATTTTTTTTTTCTTGAATTCATTGTACAGTTGAAGAAGAAAAATTGCTTTTAAAGAAATATTTAATTTTCCTTTCTGACATTTCGAAGGAAAAAAATTTGCAAATCAATTGATTGTTGGGTTCACTTATTTTATAAGTATTACAATACCTTTTGTACAGCCGTAATGAGCATTAAAAAAAAAAAGAAAATGTAAAAAAAAAAAATATCTTTCCAAAATGTTACCATTATCTCTTTCATTCTCTCTTCTTTTTTTTTTTGAAATTTGACAATTTTGTCATATTGATAATATTATTTTATCATTTTAACGTTATTTTTTTTCGTTTTTTTTTCTTCCTTTTGATGGTCGCTTCAATTTTTTAGAAAAATGTAAAACTAAAAATTAAAATCATTTTGTGCTCATTGTTTTCATTCGACCTTTTGTTCCCACTTTTTTTTTTTCATTTTCTCTTCTTGTCAAAATTTGTATTGAATTTTTGGAGATTTTTGAAGAGAGAAATTTGTAGAGTGTATCGTTGTTGTTTGAAACTGTATGACAGTGGTAAATTGAGCAACATAATTGAGAAGGCGGAGAAGTGGAAGTGGTAAAATTAACCTTGACGCAAAGATTTAAGGTGAACGGGATAAGCGCTGTACAGCACTAACAATAACGTCGAATTTACCCTATTCTTGATCTACCAAATTATTGTAATTATTTCAAAACTGATGTGTTTATTATATTGTATTAACAGCAATGTTTAGATGGAAAAATTTATTCCATCAATTTCGATTAATTTTTAGAATTTTTTCATTAATAAATTGTCATATTCCGGTTGTTTCTATTTCTAGCCTTAAAAATTAAAGATATAATTGATAAGCTCATACAAACATATTGTCAATAATACATTTTTCATTTAATTTCTATTTAATATTTTAATTTCATTTAAAGAAGGTTATAGGTTTCATCAATGAATGACAAAGAGTTATATAAGTGGATGATTTTAAAAATATTGAAAATATTTCCATATATCACAATAACTTCTCCTACAAATCAGAAAGGAATTGAAAGAATGTAAGGAGAAAGGATGTAAAATATAATCATCGTATCATCAAATTTCAAATTTCAACTTTTTAATTACATGATTTATACATTTCATAATGATTTATATATTTTTATGAGAAACTGCATTTTGAGATTTCGGAGAAATTGTGTTAAATGAAAGTTTCTGTAAATAAATTACTGCTGGTTTTTGTTGTCACAATTTGTTGGAACAAATTTGTCACATCATTGAAACGAAATCTAGAATGAATAATTAATAATTCAGATGGATGAATTTACGGCAATTCAAAAATGTGAGATGAAAGTAACGGTGAATGACAACAAACAACACTATCAGATAGCTTATCATTGTTAGCATTATTGTAATCAGTTGGCTAAAGCTTAAATAAGATACTAGCTCTCAAATGATTTTTCTTACGGAATTTGGTTAGAATTATCATTGCAGTGGTAAGCTAATGAAATATATTATACTCAACGAGCTCTTTTTATTTGTAAAACTTCTTTAATGTCAAAGTTACTTTATGCTTACATTTATCTTCTAATATACTAAAATGGCATACTGTGACGCACGTCATACGTGGTGATTTGCAATAGTGTATAAGCATAATAAATAATATTAAGAGATATTGAATACAGAAGGAATTTGTTACTGATTAATCTTTATAACAGTAGTAACGAAAATTAAAATAACAGTGACCATAGTGATCAAGTAGCACTTACAAGTCCATATAATTTTAGATTTTATAAATTTGAATATTTTAATAATCTGGAAGACAAGAAATGTCAAAGGTTTTTAAGAAGGTACAGATGGATGTATAAGATATGCTTAACCTGAATGGCATGTTTGATAGTTA